AATTAGCCAATATATTACTATGTTTGATTTTTTTTTAATGTTACTTTCATTATTTCATCACTTGTCCCTGCCTATTTAGAAGTCTTCCAAGTTGATCTTCAAGTTCATTGAGCATGTAAGCTAAATACTTCTTCCTCTTGGTTTTAAAGATTACCAGTGTTCTAGACTTGGTCTTCATTTTACTTCTCACAGTTCCCTGCCATTTACTAAAGTCAGCTTTGGTTGAGCGAGGCCTCTTATGTTTATGCCTGCCATTTAGCCTGGTTTTCTTTCCACTCATTTCTCTATCCATGAATTGAATTTCTATATTATGTCTCATCAGCCCCATGAAAGTTTCATGTCCAATTTTTGAATTTTGGTAGCATGTATCTTACTATGTCATTTTATGCTCAAATATTTTAATATATATGGCATTGCCTTATGCATTCATCTCAGATCATAAATTTTGCAGTAACACCATGCTGTCATTCAACTACCATCAAGTGCTCCTTTATGTACCATGTTCCCTGAACTGTTCTAAAGGATGTTCCTCTAACTGTTGGGATGTAGCAGTCAGTGAAAAGCAAAAATTTTTGTACCAGTTGTCTGATAACAGCCAGCAAGATACCAGGGCATATTGTGCAGACTGTATGGTTTTGTTAAATTTCCTGTGCTTTTTCTATTTATGCATGCAGTTTGTATTGACATAATTTGTATGTACAATAATTTTTTAAACATTGTTTGAGACAGTAAATCATTTGCCAATATATATATTGGTGCATAGTTCTTGTCACTGAAAAAAGACAAGCTACAGCCCAACTTCCTACCTGTAGTTCTGGTCCATATTTGTCATTGTGCTACTGGGCTAGCCCTCATTCATTCTTCACATGGTATCCAGAGTGATTTCTTAACTACTTACTAGATCGTATTGTTTTTCAAGGATTTTCTGTCGCCTTTGATTACATAATAAACCTGATAGTTTTGCCCATGAGGTTCAGGTTTTGCCCATCAGTATCAGGTTTTGGCTTACCGTCTTTCCATGTGAAGCTGATGGCACTAGTGATTCACTAAACGGAATCTACCATGTCTTTACTCGTGCTTTACCTTCTAGGATGACCTGTAACAGCCTTTTGCCCTCAGTAACTTGTCTCCTTTTGCTGCATTATCATAGACTTATCTTCCATCACTTTGTAATATAATGTTCTGTTTAAGTATGTAGTGGGCTGGCTGGTCATTGAGGGCAGACTATGTACTTTGTCCCAGTTCCCACTGTTTTGAGGACTCACACATGCTGTTTATTGTACAGTGGATGTTCACTAAATTCACTTAATAGGCTTTAGTTAGAAATTAAGTCCTAGATTCCATATATTGGACAATTTTATGATACAGTTATTTGGTTCCTGTTTTCTTCATTTGTAGATTGTTTGGAGATGATTTGTTTGAATCTTACAGTGGGTTGTAAGAACTTGACTTTGAGTCTTGACTGTGGTTTGTAAGAACATAGTTTACATCTTCTTTGGAGTAAAAATTATTTAAGCACATCTAAGAAGTCAATTGCACCATGTCTAGTTATCTAAAACCTGAACACAGTTGAGAAAACAAAAATAGGAAATACTCTGGGTAATACTCTCTTTTTCTCCTTTTAACTTATGCAGGGAGAAAATAATTGAGACCATTTGGGATGGTCTGAGTCCCAGGCTTATATGCAAGTGTGCTTTCTTATGGTAAACAATGTGTGCTTTGTTTCAGTGGAGAGATAGTTTAATGAAACAACAAAAATGTCAGCTCCACTGAGGATGACAAAATATTCCAAGTTGGAATTTTAAAGTTGTAGTATGTTTGTATTTCAGTTTTGAAATTTTCTTTATTGACATGCAAGCTAAACCATTGCTTTTTGGTATATATTATTTCTTGGAGTATTGTTTTAATTTTCATTGGTAAGAATTTTTTTAAAAACCTACTTGGAAACCATTACTGACAAAATTGAAATGATCATTCTTGTAGACACTAAAGGCAAAAACCTTTTTCTTGCTCTTCATAGCCCCAGGTTAATAGATTTGGAGAGGTTGAAAACTAAGTTATCCCAATGTCTCACCTTCTTGGGTGCTTAGGAGCTATTTCATAAATGACTTTCCTTACTTCTAGTTACCCAGACATCAGACCCAAGGGCAGTGAATTCAGACAGAAGCCATCTCTTTGGTCAAGTTATTGTTTTGAAGCGTTAATAAAACCATTAAGGCCACTTGAGTCAATGACCCATATGGTTGTGTGTGTGAGACTTCAACCGTGATACGCTTTGTAGCTTCACTGCATCTCTGCTCACTTTCACGGTTTCCCATTGCATTGTGAAATTTATATTTGAGTTTATGGTTAAATTTACTTAAGTGTTGTCCTTTAATTAAAAGTAATGAAAACTGTTGAGCAAATTTGAGTTTTTAAATGTGTCAGAGTCTGCTTTTATATAAACACACATGAGTACATCCTAGCTTGGGCAATAAAAACAGGTCATTAGAATAGTTTATTTTTAAATTTTAAATGATTGTGTCTCTTAACTAATTAGGTACTTTACACTTTAATTCTTGGCATGTACACTGAAGTTTTCAATTGCTTGCCAATGCTAATGTCTTAAAAGTTGATCTAAGTTCAGTATTAATGATGTATTAAACTGATAATTTTCTAGAAAGATTGCTGTTTTGAAAGTATACTTCTGAACAAACTGGCATTTAAAAATATATTTCAGAGATTTTTCCATCTGTGTATGTGATGAGGATTAACTGTGGTGAAATATTTTCCACATAATTTTTAAATTATCTCTCCAAAAGATTGTGTAGATTCCTGTGCAGAGTTAAGGTGACATATTTTCTTGGAATAGCACATACCTAGTTACCTAACAGTGAATGTATTCAGGGAAAGATTTACTGATTTCTGTTAGACAGTTGGAAGAATTTTATTTTATAACATACCTATTTAGCGTAGTGTGTAAGTGAACTTTTGGTAAAGTATATATTTTATTTTTTAATTAAGTTTATTGGTATATTTTAGATAGACATAATGATCACATTTGTCATAGGAAATTTGTACCTGTGCATTATACATTTTGCTTAAAAACAGGAAAGTGACATAGTAAAATAAAGGAACAGAATAAATAATTTTGCAGTGAACATTTTTTTTAGTCATGCTTTAACTACAACACCAAGAATGTGTACCAGCTATAGTATGGTATTTTCCTTTCTCAAGGTAAACCTCTTCAGTTTTTCCTTTGTCTCCATATTTGATCAGTGTCTGAGTTCTTCAACAGTATCTCTAGAATGCCTATCTTTTCTGAGTGCCAGAGGTACCACCATAGTTTAAAGTTTCATTGTTTCTGATCTGGATTATTCTACACCTACTTGATGTTCTTAATTGTAGTCACTCTGGTTCCCTGAGTTTTGTAGTTTGTTTTTGCCTCACCATATTTTACATGTTTAGTAGTGAATATGTTAGTAGTATCTCACTATATTAATGATTTGAAGGAAGAGGAGAGTTGGGCAAAATGTGCCTCTTTCCCCAATTTATCACATTCTGTCAAATCTTTTGTATCAGTCTTTCTGAAATGTAATAGCTCTGACATTTATTAGATGTAACTATTTGCTATTAAGAAGCAGAAATGTATAATATGTGTGTGTGTATATATATATGTAGATAGAGAGAGAGACAGAGAGAGAAAGAGAAAGACAGAGAGAGATTCCACTAAATGACTGAGAATTCTGTGAATATCACTTCTTTTGAGACCAGGTTGACTTTCATTTTGTCCACACAACTTTTCCTAGCTAAAGAAGTTATCTTTTGCTTTTTAAGTCTGTAATCACAAATAGATGAAATTTCTGTTGTACATGCTATATTTCTTAGCCTTATTGTGCCTGAGAGAGTTCTTTGTAATGGCATTCATCTTATGGAGACTGCAGAACTTATATCACAAACTCAGAGAAAATGATATAGTAAATTCACATGGAAAGAAATGGGAAAGAAAAACGTTACCTTTGATATAAGATAATACCATAATGATCTGAACCTTAACCCAATTGATATAGTTTAAGGGATTCAAATAGCCACAAATAAAAGCATAGTTGAAGCAGGACTAGTAGACATTAAAACAGTTATGTTTTAGAACTATTTTAATTCCTTTTTTAAACTATTTGTATATTTTTTCTTTTTTAACTAGGCAATTGGCCTTTTACTAATTGATTTTTAAGAAGTCTGTAATATTAAGTAAATTATCCACTTGTGATATGAGATACAAATACCTTTTCCCACTTAGTCTTCTGACGTTGTTTATATTTTTTCATGCAAAAATCTGACTTTTCAACATTTCTTGGTGTAAAATCTTTTGTCCTCTGGGAGACTAATACCTCACTTTGAAAGACCTTTCTTTATTCTTGACATTATAAGAGAAATTTGTCTCTTAGTAGTAGTGATACTATGACAGTGATAAATAATACTAACATGTACTTAGTCCATCTGTACTGAGCACAGTTCCTAGCCACATTTTGATGATGTAGGTTGAATTATTAACTCTGTTTAATAGAAGGGAAACCCAAGGTACAGGATGTTTCAAAAACTTAACCAACGTTACACAGCTAATTGATAGCGGAGGGACTGACAAAACAAAACTAAAAGCATTGCTGGACATTGTTGAAGTCTAACCCACTGGAAGCAGGTCATAACAGCCTGAGTTCAGTTTCTTTTCTGTTAACATTTAGGTCAGTTCTGCAATCATTCTTGTATAGTTAATGCTCTTTAAGCATTTACTGTCAGCCAAGAATTGAAATATACACATACTACTTTTAAAGCTTACCAAGCTAGTGTTTTAAGTTTAAACTAAGTATGTAGGCTTGAATACCTAAATGCCAGAATAATGAAGCATTTTAATAGGAAACTCATGTTTTCTTAAAGTGTAATTTTTCAAATGTACAAAATGTTTTCCAGCGGTGTTGCCAAATCCAGATTTATTCATTGTTAAATTTATTTGTGTTTTTACACAGGGTGTGATAGGTATACAGCTGGTCGTTACCATGGTGATGGCCAGTGTCATGCAGAAGATTATACCTCACTATTCTCTTGCTCGGTGGCTACTCTGTAATGGCAGGTAAGGCAAGGATAGGCTGACTGGGGCTGGCATTTTTGATCTCTAGTTTCTGAGGCTAATTAAATTCCTAGAAGTGCTAATTCCTGTTTTTAAAAGGATAACAAAGGAAAGTTAAGAGAAAATCTACTTTCTCATTTCTGTTATTTAACATATTAGTTTATCTGTGGAGCATCAAGCTGATAGAGCCAGGAATGAGATTCTGGTTCCCTTATCCCACCTCCCTGTGCTTTCATCTGTCTGTTGAGTGGCTGACCATTGAGAATACCGTATAGTTTTGTAATTATCTTTAAAAAGTTGGCCAATGAGAAGGTGAGAAAATTAGAAACCAAAGTGTATTTTTTGGAGAAGAATAACTCAAAGTATGACTTAATTCAGTTTGTTATGAGAGTTGGGGGTACTTTGTTTTATTGCAAAGAATTTTAAACTATTTAATAAGGAAGAGATAAATTTATGTTGTAGGATTTTATCAATTGTACTGTAAATTCGCTACTCTTCGTACTCCTTCCACAAAAGATCCAGGTTGCCTTGTTGAAATATGTACAATTAAAATAATAAAATCGAAGAACTTAAATAGAAGGAATGTAGGTAGTTAGGCAAAAGCAAAAAAAAATTCTGCACACAGAAATACATGTCACAATCCTGTGTAATTATGAAAGGTAAGTGATAAACTTGGTACCATGACTACTTCAATTGTTCATTTCCGATAAATATCCAAATTCGGTTACTGTTTTATATGTCCATTTTCTTTTCAGACCTTTTGAAGTTAGAATATAATGGGTAACTTTCCTGTTTGTGAGCTCATGTACAGAAGTATGAATAATCCTTTAATTCAGGGGCATTCCATCCCCAAAGCTTAAATTTCCTTTAGAGAATTTATTTTCCATTTTTAATTATTCATGTTCTGTGTTCTTTATGCTTTTTTGTATTAATGTTAAAGTATAGAAAAATATTGACTTCATTAAAATTTTTTTGAATACTGCAGTATACACATATGTTATAATGAATACAAGAATAGCCGTTTACCATGTGTATATTTTATTAGTAAAATAAATAATGATTAAAGTTTTGATGAAGTCCAAACCCTGTGTAGGGCTGGGGATTTAGCTCAGTGGCACAGCGCCTGCCTGACAAGGGCGAGGTCATGAGTTCGGTTCCCGGTACAGGAAAAAAAAACAAAAAAGAAAAAAAGAAAGCCTGTGTCACCAATTTATAAGTGAAAATCAATCATGTGTAACTAGAGTTTTACTGTGTAGGCTTAATATGCCCTATGTAATCTTACTTACATATTTTGCTTAGTAAAACCACTTTCCATAGGTCATGAGAGGGTATGTATCAGCTGTACAAATTAATTCTAAGTAAATGGAATCCAAGTTTGTAAAGTATGTTAAAATCACTAAGGTGGCATATTTTCTCCTAAGATTGCACATTTCCAAAGTCTATGCTTATGATCAAGTAACCCTTCTAAGTATCTTTTGGCTGTAGAGGGCTTACTATAATCATGTCCCGTTTTAGTCTATATACATTTGGATGTTCTTACATGTTACGCTTTCCATTTGTTTCTATAAAACTTGTAATCACTAGTAAAACACTAAAAGTTTAGAGATCAGAAATCTGATTATTTTAGCCAGGAGTGGTGGCACATACCTGTAATCTTAGCATTATGCGAGGGTGAGGCAGGAGGTTCAATCCCAGACTGGGCATTGTAGCAGTTTGCCAAGAACCCTATATCAGAATAAAACAAATTTTAAAGGACTGGGAATGCAGCTCAGTGCAAAGGCCCCAGGTTCATTCCCCACTACTGCAATAAAAAAAGTACCTTTGCTAATATTGGAATGATGTATTATATTTAAAAGCTTTGGTTTGTTGATGGGAATGTATCATAAAAATACATACATAATTTGAAGGGTGGCAGAGGGTTTTGTTTTTACTTTGATTTTCAGTGTTTAATATTTAGCCTAGAATAATGGAAATCTAATGTCTAGCTGAGATTTGAGATTTTGATATTATGAGAAAATCTTTTATATGTAGAAATCTATTAAAAATCAGTATACACAAGAGTTTTAAAAGCTGTCCTATATATCTTTATAGAAAGTATCAAGCTTCTTACATAAAGAATTGATTTTCTGTATGATCTTAACTTGCTTATGTAAATGGATACCCTTTGTATTAATGCTGTCTTTAATGCCAAATAAGTTTCCATGGATATCAAAATATAGTATTCTATTCAACGTTTTTGTTGTAGTTTCATTTCCTTAGTTTTGTTCTGTGTTTTTCTTTTTTTTTTGTTGTTTTTGTTTTGTGTTTTTCAGTGTTAGTCCTAAAGTTTCAAAGTCATGAAAGCCAACTTGCTGCGTGCTACCAACTAACTCAGTTGAGTAAGATCATGGATTTTACTCTTTCATCCTATGTGATAGGAAATGATACTCTTTTAATTTTGAAAAGCCTAAAATCCCTTCCCAGTTGCTCATGTAAAAATAGTATTGATTATAAATAACAGTTTACATTTTAAATCATCTGAGCAATTAAAAAAAGAGAGAAGGCTGAGGACATAATTGAGAGTGTATAACATGCTTAAAGGAATTGTGCTGTTGATATTGCTTTTCTTAATTGTATGTTCTACTTGTTTTTAAAAATACTGTATAGACCTTAACCTGGTTTAATACCATTAATACCACCTTTATAATTGTATAAAATACTACACTTACAGAATTTTTTTGAAATCTGGCATCTCACTTGAACCCATACTCTCTAGGAGAGGAGATGCATTGAGTTGTATTATGACCTCCAAAATATCAGTGTCTAAAATATTTTCTCCCTTACTTTCTTCAGACGAGAATCAGGGTCAAATGGGGAATTAGTGGCAGCTCAGACAGCTGTCCAGGTAGCTGAGAAGTTAGGTAGGGTTATCAGAACTATTTCTGTGGTAGCGTATTGAAGTAGCCTTGCCTCGTATATTACATTCCTGCATCATTCCCATCATTTGAGCTCATCCTGTAGCCATTGTGCTTTCTCCCTTCATCCCAAGAAGGGTGAGTACAGCACAATAAGGTATTTGAGAGAGAACACATTAACATAACTCTTGTTATAGTACTTTCCTATACTTTTTTGTTTTATTGCTAATGTTGTTAATCTCTTACTCTGTCCAATTTATAAAGTAAACTTTATCAGTAAGTGTGTGTATCTAAGAAAAAGCATAGTATATATAGGTACTGTTTGAAGTTTCAGACATCCACAGGGAAGAGATGTCGAAGAACTTATCCCTTGAAGATAAAGGGGGAGACGACCGTGTTTATTTGATTTATGGCGGCTCATCTACTCTACAACTTGTCCTGGAACTGTCATGTTTGAACAGCATTTTAAATTTGATAGAGGAGACAAGTAAAACTTTTTTGCAACCATTGTCACTTTTGTTGGCAGTTTACAGAGTACTTTTTTAAAATTATTATCTTTTTTCTACCATTTTTCCGAGCTATACTTTTCCTTTTTGAATATGTCCTGTGGATTATAGTTAGTGTATGATTTCACTTAGTATGTTCCTAAAGCTACTCAGTGGCTACTTATCCAGCTTTTATTCTAATTAAATTCAAAATTACATCAGCATTGATTTTGATTACCAGAAATGTAATAAGTATGAATTAGAGTTCAAGAAATGTTATCAATTGCCCAATCTATACCTCTTTCTTTACCATTTGAAATTAAACTTATTCCACGTTTCTAAATTAAAAATACTTTGTATTGTATATTTTTAGTTTTTGTTTTTAATATAGATTGAATATCCTTAATCCAAAAATCCAAAATCCTAATTTTAGGGCATTGATATGATGCTATAATTGGAAAATTGTCCACCTGACCTCATGTGTCAGGTCACAGTCAAAAATCAGGTGCATTAAAAATATAGTGTAAGATTACCTTCAGGCTATGCATGTATGAAACATTAATGAATGTTGTAATAAGACTTGGCTTCCATCCCCAAGATATCTCATTATGTATATGCAAATATTCCAAAATCTGAACCCTGAAACTCATCTGGCCCCAAGCATTTCACATAAGAGATACTCAACTTATACTATAGCAAATGTTATTAGTTCTCATTTTTCTACCCTCCTTTTTATGATTATCAGACTTGTTGAAGGGATTCCTACTTTAACAAGAGCTTGAGTAGTAACATCTCTTTGACCCATAATCCGTAAAGTGTCTTACTGACCTAGAAAAACTCAACTATGAGGAGTCTGATGCTTTCACAGTGTTTCTCCCTCCCTCATCAAGGGGAAGAAAAATCCCAAGAAGTTATTTTTTCTGTATGTTTAGTGTGAAGTACTTGTCCTCACATAAGGAACACGTGTTCTGGGAGTTTCTCCTAAAACCTAGGTGTTCTTTCTGATGTCTAACATACTGATTAGCAGTCAAAGTCTTTTTTACTTTCTATTGTACTTAAAGTTACTTTTTGTTTTGAAGTTTGCTGGGCCCCTCATTTCACGAAGAGGTAAGTGATAGGTAACATTCTTTGTACATTTGAATAATGGTTCTGCATGAGGAACAGGCTATTGCTTTTTTCCTTGCTTTCTGATTTCCTAAATGGTTCGGTCAAACTTTATGCATTGTTCTCTGCCCCTGTATCTCCATAATCTTTCTCCTTTTGATCTACAATTCCCTTTTATATGTTCCTCATCAGAAGTATATTTTGGCCAAATTTGTCTTGTCCCGTATTGGATAGAGAGGATGTTCTAACTCCTTCATATGAAATCCCTCTGATCCTTTTTGCCTGTTCTGGTTGCATGTTGCCTGACCCACCAACCTGCAAGTTCCCTTTGGTGAGAGAATCCTACTATTCAAATGCACAGTAGGTGGGACCTGCAACCTAAGGGAAAGATTTAAACCTTCAGCTACTACTCTTATGCAATGCTTGAGTCCTTGCCCTCCTTGCCTTAGCCTCTTAAACTGACAGTTCCAGAATGTTCATGGTACTCTGTTAAGATGCATAATAAGTAAAAGCAGAATGT